CCTCTTATCTGGGAAACGCTCCTGACACCTGCAGAGGGCGCACTGGGGCATCTCAGGTTACAGGGCATTTGGAGCTGGCCTCCTGGCCTCCCTGCAGCCCACCCGAGTCCCGAGGGGGTTAATCGCTCCACCTGGATGAACCAAGGGCCCGGAGTGGCCAGGGCGGGAGAAACACCCCCGGGCAGAGCGGGGAGGGGGCGGCTGAGAAACCGATTCGGGTGGTTTCGGCTCTGTGTGCTTTGCACACCAAGCCCTTCCTGTCCCGTGAGAAAGGGGGATGGGATTTGGGGGCCATGGGGAAGGAAGGGGGTGAGGTTTCTGTGTGCAGGAGGGGCCCGGGGCTACCAGGGGGCAACCCAGCGGCTGTTGCCCATCCCCAGAGACAGCTGCTCTACCCGATTTCCGCCTTTGTCAGGGGTTTGCAGAAGTGGGGGTGCTGGGGGCTGCTCAGCCGGGGTCCTGGCGCCTGGGGAGACAGGCTGGCTCGCGGGATGCAGCGGGAAGCACCGCTGGGCCCTTGGCGCTGACAGGAGAGCTGGGGTGGACACAGCGGAACCAAAACTGCTGTGTCATTCTAGCCGTGGCAGCTGTTGCCAGGGTGACCGGTGAGTTTCCCACGCTTCCTCCAGTGCGGCTGCAGGCTGCCATGGGCAGGGCGGAGAGGCGATAGTGTCCCTGCTGGCGGATGCCCCAGGGGTGTCTCCATCCCTCTCTCCTTGGGCCACGTGATCAGAGACCCCACCCTGCCCCCTGAGGTCTGGGCATTGTGGCCTTGGGGGTGTACCCCAGCTTTCCTTCCTCCTTTCTGTGACCAGGCCTCAGTGCCCATCTGTGGGTTGGGGTCCCCAAGGCACCTGCCTCACTGGGAGGGTCACGGGGCTCACGCTGTCTTCTGTCCAGCAACGGCAGGCAGTTCTTATTCAGATATGAGCAGGAGCTTTGCAGGGTCCTCCTTCTGAGGCCTGGAGTTGGCTGTGGGACGGTGGAGCCCTGAGGGCAGGACGGTCCCCGCCAGCCTGGCTAAGCAAGCAGGGGCCAGGTGTCCAGCCAGTGCTTAGCGGCGCTCGGCCCTGCTGCTCCCCGGCTGTGTGGCCTGAAGTGGGCAGGGCTCCTCTCTGAGCCTCTCTTTCCCTCTCTGTGAAGTGGGGGTGTGGCAGCGCCCTCCTCACTGCAGGGCTGCCGGGGGGGACAATGTCACATGCCAGCGCTGAGCCCAGTGTCCCCTCCTCAGCTCAACTCGGCCATGAACCCTGTCAGTAGCAGTGAAGACATCAAGCCCCCGCTGGGCCTCAATGGAGTCCTCAAAGTCCCGGCCCACCCCTCAGGGAACATGGCGTCCTTCACTAAGCACATCTGTGCCATCTGCGGGGACCGCTCCTCAGGTAGGCCGCATGGCGCCGCGGGATGATGGCAGGGCCCTGAGGCGGGCGCTGGGGGCGGGTACCGGGAGGCAGGAGCCTGGCCAGGCCAACCAGCCATGCTCAGCGCTCCGAGGGCCTTTCACAGGGGACCTTCTAGTGTTCTCATGTCAGGGACACAGGAAGTGGGGGACACCACCGTGGGCAGGGCGGTCTGGGGGCTCCTGGAGAGGAGGCACCGGTGACAAAGGGGCAGCACAGGTTGTGCCTTTCTGGGCAAAGGGCCCCTCGCGTCAACCTCTGAACCCCGACAGCCCCCCAAGGGGCCAGGACAGCTGTCCCCTCTGGGACCACCAGCTCAGACAGAGCCCAGGGACCCGCCAGAGAGCGGGGGGTGAGGGTGGGGGTGCAGGTCGCTCAGGGCCCCATTGCCCCCACCCCGCAGGCAAGCACTACGGTGTGTACAGCTGCGAGGGCTGTAAGGGCTTCTTCAAGCGGACGGTGCGCAAGGACCTGAGCTACACCTGCCGGGACAACAAGGACTGCCTGATCGACAAGCGCCAGCGCAACCGCTGCCAGTACTGCCGCTACCAGAAGTGCCTGGCCATGGGCATGAAACGGGAAGGTAGGCTGCGGGCGCGGGGCAGGCGCGGGGCGTCAGGGCCTCCTCGAGTCCCGCGTTCCCTGAGCACAGGGTCCAGCCTTGTACTGGGAAGCCTGGCAGCATTCCAGCGGCGCCCAGCTCCTTGGCCTACCTCTGGTGACGGGACACTCCCTCCCTCCAGAGGCTGCTGCTGCTGTGCTCTGGGCAGTGCATCCCCGTGGGCGGTGCTGCCACTCCCCACATCTTACTGAGCGCCTGCTCTGTGCCGGGCTCTGCAGGCACAGAAGAGACAGCCTCCGTCCTGCCTGCCGGCGGCTTCCAGTCCCGCTGGGGACAGGCAGTGGCCAAACCCTCTTCACTGGTAGTGGGCTGTGCCCAGTGTGCGATCCTGGGAGACAGGGAGAGAGACACGGTGAGGGCTGAGGCTGGAGGTGGCAGGTCGGGGCAGGAATGAGCCCAGGCTGGCGTGGTGGGGGCCAGGACAGTGAGTGCATACGGGTCCTGGGCCGTGTCACGGAGGCCGTGGTGAGGACATGCTGGTTGAGGGGTGGTGGGGGCAGGGAGCTCCTGAGTCTACTAGGCTAGGGTCGAACTGAACTTGGCAAAGATTTGCAACAGCCAGGCCCTGGGGGCATTGGGACTTGAGCCACTGGCCTCCGGGCCTTGGGGTCTGTGAGCCTGTTTTTCTGACAGCATTTTTCAGGCGTGGGGTGGGGCCAGGTAGCATGGAAGGTCACTCCCTGAGGTCACTGAAATTGTCCGGCTGTGCAGCCAGACCTGGGTTTGAGTCCTCAACCCCGACTTGCAGTGTGGGCCTCTCGCAGCTCGGTGCTCTCCATGGCCTCAGCTTCTCCGTCTGCAAGTTTGGTCACTCCTGGACTCTGTCCGAAGGGCCTGCGTGCGCACTTGCCTGGGGGTGGGTCCCCGGGAGGTGGTATCTGGAGTCAGGGTCTCATGGTCTGTTCTCTTTTCCACCGTGACTGCTCCGGTGGCCCCCATGTGGCTGCTGTGTGTCCATCTCCCTCCCACCTGGCATGGTCCCCTGCTGGTGTCTCTTGAGTGGCTGCAGTTTTCATCTCATTCCTTTTTATTTCTTTTTGCACCTAAGCCCTGATTATTCTTGTTTGGAAACCGAAACCTCTGTAGGGCCACGGGGTCCTGTAGGATTTCCTCCCTGAGGTCACAGGAGCGAGCGGAGCATGGTGCTGTGGGTGGGGGCTCGCGGCAGCCCTGTCTCCTGCAGCTGGCACCACTCCTGGCTAGGGGCAGCTGGACCCCACAGGGGAACTCATGGGCTCCAGCGTTGAGCTAGGGGGCTGGCCTGGGCTGTGCCAAGTGTCTGCCCTCAGCCTACCTGATGGGGGTGCAGCTTTCACATAGCGTTTGCCCACCCTTCCTAGTGTAGGTCCAGGGCTTGTCCAAGGTCACACGCAGGGCTGGAACCTGGGCCTCAGGCTACCATGCAGCCCTCGTTCTTTTAGGCCAGAGAGAGGGCAGAGGAAACAGGTGCCTGGCCAGGGAGGGCATGTGCCTGGCTCTGGTCCCCCTGGGTGCCCTGTGTAGTCAGGGAGGGCTTGCTGGAGGCGGTGAGTGCAGTACTGTTTCTGAAGGATGGAAAGTTGGGTAGGGGGCAAGTGTGTGGTAGGCAGTGGATCGGTATGGAGCCTGACCCAGGGCTGGGTGCCAGTGTGCCGGCAGGAGAGTGGGGGCCCCGGCGTGCAGCTCCAGGCTCGTGGCTCCCTGGGGGACACTGCAGCACAGGGCAGGCTTGGATTAATGCCTGAGATTGCTGACTCACTGAGCCCCATGCTGGGTGCTGGGCCCCACGCCGGGTGCTGCGCACACAGCAGTGAGCTGTGCGTATCCATCCATGGAAAGTGACATCACATAACCAGGCAGCTCCCTTGGTGTGACCGGTGCCGACTTAGGGGAGGTGCAGGGCATCGTGGGAGCCTCAAGGAGGCACCTGCCCCAATCTTGGGCATCAGGCAAGGCTTGGGCGGGCGGGAGATGGCCAGGCTGACACCCGAGACTGGGAAGGTGTCAGGCACACGGCTTGCCCAGCCGGAGGGAACAGCGTGTGCAGAGGCCGAGGATGTCAGCAGAGGTGGCACGCTGCAGGGCATGGATGCCATCCCGGGCCCCAGAGAAGGACCCTTTACAGGCCCCTGGGACTGTCCAGTAAATGCTGACCCCTTCCTACTGCCCTCTCAGCCTGTCTACCTGTGAGCCTTGGTGTCATCAGATTCCAGCTTCCTGTCCCCTCGAGGCCTGGGGGACAGTGGGCACTGCCCCCTCTCATCCCAGTGGAGCCTTCAGAGTCCCCTGTCTGACCCTTTCCTGGCCCCACCAGTGACTGGGGCTCGGCCTGAGTGGCTGTGAGAGAGCCTTGCTGGGCACTTGCCCGACCTCCACACATCGTGTCATTCACCTACGTTGCTGTGGTGCTGTCCCCACGCCTCATACATAGAGAGACGGGGCACTTGGGGTGGTCTCAGGGCCAGCGACGAGGTGGGGGCTGCTTCGCTTTGCCGCCTCTCAGGTCTGGTGGAAGAATCAGGCGCTTCAGGCTCATTCTGGAGGGAGATGGGCCCTGAGGCCTGATTTACGGGCAGTTAGATAAATACCTGTCCCGCCAGGACCCCTCCCCTTCATCTCCTCCTGGATTTATGTCATGAACGTGCCGTAATTACGTGCCCCAAACCCAATGACATGAAACGGCCTCATGGGCTGTGGAAGGTGGTTCTGTGTGGCCCTGAGAGCCTGAGGGTGGGTCTCCAGAAGGAGGGCAGGGCCTCGCGCCAAGTGGGCTCTGTCCCTGGGCGAGTGACTCCCTAGTGAGGTGGCAGCCAGCGCGTTTCCTGGCGCCTGCAGGGCCCGGTCCACAGCTGTACTTGGGAGGGGTGACTGGTGGCCCCAGTGCAGCCTCAGTACCCTCTCTCCAGGGACCTCCATGGACTCCCAGGACGAGTGGCCCAAAGGGGTTGGTGGGCATGCCCCCCCTGCCCCGGCACCTGCCATGTAGCCTGCAGCTGGGTGCTGGGCACTGCCCTGTGTCCCCCGGAAGTCGTCCTGAGAGAACTCCTATTACAAGGAGGACCTATGCCCTGGCAGTGGTGGCCCAGGCCACATGAATAGGGTCAGCGTGGGAGCCCAGAGCACCCTGGCCAGGAGCATAGGATGTGAGCTGTGGGCTCCCAGGGCCAGCCCTTAGTGTCAGCCCCGGATGGGCAGCTACGTTGACTGGCCTTGATGTCACACGACCCCTTGGTGAGGCTGCGATCACACCCATTACAGGGAGGAACTGAGGCTGGCACCCAGGCAGCATTGCCCGGTGCAGTGGTGGGAGGGGCAGCTCAGGGCTGGCACCAGGCTGGCTGACCACAGGGAGAGCCCAGGAGGGTTTGGCTCAGGGCTGACAGGACCCCACCTCTCTGGGCTAATGAGGGGTGCCGCAGGCTGATAGCATCTGGTGTTGGGCAATGGTGGGGCCTGCGCACACAAGCAGTCACCAGGGACTCGTTCCACAGCATTCCGGGGGGAGGCGGGGGGGCCGAGGCCCAGGTGGGAAATGCCGCTCAGGCCAGCCCTCCACCAGGCTGAGCCCGGGCCTGCCTGCCGGAGCGTGTGGCAGCAGGGCTTGGGGGCCTGCGGGTGCTTCTGGTCTGATGGCGGAGGCAGGCCCTATGTTTCGGGGTTCCAGTCAGATGGGGGAGACCTGGCCCTCACCTGGGGTGACCCTGGCCCAGGCTGCAAGGGGCCACCCTGCTGCCCCCCCCACCCCCCGCCTCTTGCTTCCTCCTCCAGGAAGGCCTCTCCCCGTTTCCTTCCTGCCTCTTTTGCTTCCTGTGCCCCCTTCTCCTGACTCTGAAGGACTGGGGTACGGAAGCAGCAGTGTCTGGTGTGTGTGTGTGTATGTATGTGTGTGCACGTGCGGGAGTGTGTGTGTATGTGTGCGCGCCCGGGTGTGTGCGCGCGTGTGTACGCGTGTGTGCATATGTGCGTGTGCGCGCGTGTGCATGCATGTGTGTGTGCATGTGCACGTGGGAGTGTGTGTGTGTACACGTGTGTGTGTGTGCGCGCACGCATGGCTCCACCCATTTCTGCTGCAGAGGAGACCCGGCTGGGTTCAGGTGCCTCCCTGTCCCCACTGGGCAGTGACTTGGCCTCTCTGGGCCTGTTTCCTCATTTGTGCAGTGGTATCATTGGCGAGGTTCCCCCACCCCAGGTGTGTTGGGGGGAACGTGGGAGGTGGTGGCACCACCGCGCCTGGCTGGTAGGGGGGTTGGAGGGCAGTGACCACAGCACGTGGGTGTGTGCACCTGTGCACGTGGAGACGTGTGTCATGTGACCGTTCTCCTTGTCTTAGATTGTGTCCCTTACGGGAAGGAGGGACCCATCCTCTGAGCTAGAGAGACCCTAACTCGCCGTGTGACCGCTGTCAGGGCGTTCCTTCTCCTGGCCTTTCGAAGAGGTGGTTGGGCCAGAAGCTTTGGTGAAATCCAGTCCTGCCTGTCCCGGGGGCCACATAAGGGACAGAGGAAGGCCCCAGCTGCTGGCAGTGCCCAAAGCAGAACAGGCAGCAGGGCCAGGGCTCCCGCCAAGTCTGGACACCCCATTTCAGCCCCCATCTTCCTGCCAGGCCCTGCGGGCCTGGAGGGGTGGCACTGGGGTGTCTCGCAGGTCAGGGGTGTCTGCTCCGGCTGAAGGGCTGCTGCTGTTCCTCGCATCAGCGGGCCTTGTGATGTTGGGGATCCTGGTTCTGTTGGGGGTTGAATCCCCTTCCCAGGCATGTGTTTGGCTGTTGGGGTGGGGGTGGGGTCTTCCCAGGGATCCCCAGCCTCCTGTGCCTGGCACACTCAGGGCTGGAGGGTAAGGAGCCCCTGTCTTCCCAGACGCCTCCTGCCTGAGGCTTCCCGGCGCCAGCAGAACGTAAGTCAAACATGACTTCATCCAGAAGGTGATGGAGCTGGCAGAGCATAAATCCGGGCTCTCTCCTGCCCCCTCCGCCGTCTATAAATAAAACCATAATATTTATAATGACACTGCTCAGAGCTGCCGGGCTCTTCGCGGCTTCAAAGTGCTTCACAAAGCCTTCGCTAATTAATTCTCGGCTGCCCCGGAGGAGGCAGGTGTGAGGAACCCCCTCCTGCCCATGGGCGCTGCCCCCACCCCCAGGGCACCCTCGGTGAGCTCAGGCTCCCTGCACCCAGGGGCCGTCTGTGGAGAGGGAGGAAGTCCCCACAGCCGGCCCACATTGTGGGGAGCGTGGGAGCGGGAGGTGCGGTGACAAAGCTGTGGCATCTCTAGGGCACCTCCTCGTGGACCGAGCCCGAAGGCTGGTGCTGTCGCTCTCAGTCTAGGGCTGAGGGAGCTGGAGCCCAGCGAGGCTGGGTCTGGCCTGGGGCTGCACAGCTGTTGGAGGCAGGGCAGGGTCTGGGGACCGGGGCCGTCTGACTCAGAGTTGGCTGCTTGAAGCTGCCCGCGGTCCCGAGAGCTCAGCCCCTTCGGCTGCCTGGGCCTCACCTTCCCCACCTGGGAAAACGAGGTGGTTGAGCGAAACCACGCGCCTCTCAGCAGCGTCCTGGCTCTGACAGTTCAGGATTCTGCCCACGGCACAGACCCTGGGGACCCCATCCAAAGGTCTCAGGGACATGGGCCCACCTAGGCTCTGGGTTCCTGTCAGCCTGGGTGGGTGCCCCCTGCCTGTTGGTTCTGCTGGCCTGTGACCCTGTCCACTGTGGCCCATGTGGAGGCGCTGGGAAGCCTGGCTGCTCCTCGCCCTCTGCTGCCAGCTTGAGCTCTCCTCCTAGCCCCCACCTGCTGTCAGATTTCCCAGAATTGCCAGATTTGCAAAAACTTGGACTCGAGCCTCCTGCCTGGCCCCGTGGCCCAGCTGGTGTGGTCCGAAGGTGTCGGCTGGCCCGACCTTGAGCCTCGCCCGCAGATGGAAAGTCCCTCGCTCGTCCGTCCTTTGGGTCTTGGAGAGCGCAGCCCCTGGCGTGGGGGCAGCTCTGAATAGCCATGTGTCCACACAAGGAGGATGCAGGGTCTGTCCCCAGGGAGTCCTGAGGTACCAGAGAGGCACACATGGGCCTGGCATCTCTGAATGGCCGTCATTGGGGGCCAGGCAGGAAGCACTTGGCTTGGGGGGATGGAGAGGTGCTGACGGACTGTAACAGCAGGTGTGTGTGTGTGTGTGGGGGGGGAACGAAGCCGACTTGGGGATCCCCCAGCACCAGTAGGGAGCTCTCACGCCCCAGGCCTGGAGGAGTGAGGGGAGGGGGCGTGGAGAGCCCCAGGGAGCTGTGCCCCGGGATCAGTGAGTGCCCTTTAGGAGGAAAGGGCCCTGGAGAACCGTGGTGGGGCAGGGCGGGCACCAGAGCCATTGGCACCCCTCCCTCCTGCCCTCCTGTGGTTTCTTGCTGTTGGTCAAACCCATCCAGAAGCCAATGGGGAGGGGCCTGGGCGCGGCCTCCCCAAGCTCAGGCCCTTGGACCCAGGGCAAGGGGTGGGTGTGGAGGTGCAGAGGTGGCCCCGACAGCCAGTGTCTGTGAGCGAGGACTGTCTGCCCCATAGAGACGTCCTGGAGGGAGGATAAGCCCGTCTGAAGCCCAGGGAGCCATAGTGCCCGGGAAGCCCCCTCCGAGGGCCTGCACCCTCTCACCCTCTGGAAGCCACTGCTCTGCACATGGGACCAGGAACGTGCTGCTGGGCTGTGGCTGGCAGGGAGGGGTGCTTGGAGCTGGCTGGGGTCAGAAACCTGGGATGGGTCAGAAGCAGAGAGGGGGAGAACCAGGTGGCGGGAGGGAGGCAGCAGCCTGTGCTGGCCTGGTGGCATCCTCGGGAGGCCTGAGGCCCTGTCACTGAGCCCCCACCGCCAGGGCTGGCGGGAGGCCGGACGGCGTGCTAGTGTGCCTGTGCTGTCGGGGTCGGGCGCCCTGAGCGTGCTGTGCGGGAGCGTGACTGGGGGCTGTGGATTTGGCTTCCTGCAAACGTCCTCCCCTGGGGTCCTCCAGGAGTAGGTCGTTTACCAGGCCCTCTCACGTGCACCCGGGGAGCAGCATGGTCACCAGGGGGATGACGGAAGTGGCTGCCACATGGCCTGGGTCCGAGCAGGGTTCCCTCTGGCCGCGTTGCTTCAGAGCCCGGTGAGGTCCGTCCTGGAGGGTGAGCCTGGGAGTCAGGGTCTGCACCGTGGCTCATGGCCATCTGATCCATGTCCCAAGGGCTAGCAGCTCCCAGGTCTCACAGCCCTGGCATTTCCTGCAGAGAGCGAGCCACCATGCCACTGGGGTGCTTTGGGGGACCCAGGCCTGGCCTGGGGGGCTCTCCCAGGTCAGGATGATCCCCAGCTCCTCCTAGGAGCCTTGTGTACTGGGGTACAGCCCCAGGAAGGGCGCCCAGCTCTGCCTGTCCTAGCCCTCCCAGGGGCCTGCCAGCCCTAGGCGTGGGCTAGGGGCTGTTTCTGGGCCCTTCCCCTCAGTGGGATGGGCCTGTGCACAGAGGTTTCCATGCAGTGCTCTGCAAGTCGCTTCGCCCAAATGCCAACTCTTGTGGTCGGGTCCCCAGGGGCCCTGAGGGGTCTTGTCTGGGGCGGGGGGATGAGGACCCAGCCCTGAGGAGGCCGTGGTACCCTGGGAGCTTGGTGGAGGGCATCAGGACAGCTTCTCTGGCCCAGCCAAGCAGGACACAGGAAGGGCAGCTCCGATGGGCTCGGGGGAGGACCGCCCGTCCTGGTGCTGCTGCCTGCCACCTGGTGGCATGTGGGGTGGGCCTAAGAGGCACAGCCCTGACACGCCATCAGCCCAGGCTCTGACGGTGCTGTGTGGGCAGCCCCTCCAGCCCCATATGAGGCCTCAGGCCATGGCTTCTCCCCTCTGCCGACTCCTCCCCTCTCCCCGCTGCCCCCGTCCAGGGTCCTTGATGCCCCCATCAGTAGGAGGGGTGTGGACGTGGGAGCCGTCCCAGGGGGCTGCAGGAGCGGTTCATGACCTGGCCCTGGTTCACGGTTTTATCAGACCTGCTGGGTGACCTCAGGGAGGTCCCAGCCTCTCCTTGGAAGTCTCAGTTCTTTCTATAAACACCCACCATGGGGCACCCTGGCCTCCTTGGCCTTCCTTCCACGTGGGTCTCCTTGGGGACAGAGTTGAAGTGAACCCCTCTGTCTCTGCTTCCTCTCATCAACTTCTCTTCCTGGGTTCCCAGAAACCTGGCCAACCCCCGACTCCTCCATGTGCTCAGCCCTCCACCCCCTCAGGCAGAGCATCTGTGCTCTGGCTCCGGGCCTTTGCACATCCACCTCCTTTGCCTGAACCGTTTGTTATTCCTGTGTTTCCTGCTCCTTCCGTCTCATTGCCCCTTCTGCCGAGAAGCCTTCATGGCTTTGCCCGAGTCCATAGTCCGGCAAAGCCCTCCCCCCTCCATCTCGGGATCCCTGCTGAACCATCAGCTCCATGAGAGCTGGGCCCCATCTGCCCTGGCCTGTGCCTGGCCTGGGTGGGTCCTGCTGTCAGCATTAGTTGAGTGAATTAATGAGAGATGGGCATGCTCTGGGTTCTCAGAAGGCACAGCCACTGAGAGGTCAGGCTTGGGACAGAGGTGGGGCCGTGGTCGGCCAGCCCCGGCAGGGACATGGGTGTGTGGGCAGCGTTCGGCCCCTGCCGGTAGAGGGACTGCCGCTGTGGGAGCTGTAGGCTGACCGGCTGCCTCCCTCGTCACTTGGCAGCGGTGCAGGAGGAGAGGCAGCGGGGCAAGGACCGGAATGAGAACGAGGTGGAGTCCACGAGCAGCGCCAACGAGGACATGCCCGTGGAGAAGATTCTGGAGGCCGAGCTGGCCGTCGAGCCCAAGACCGAGACGTACGTGGAGGCGAACATGGGGCTGAACCCCAACTCGGTGAGTGCACCCCGCCCACGTGGCCTCCCCATAAGGTGGCAAGGACCGGCGCTGCTTTGGGGACTGTTAGCCCTGGCGAGCGCCCCTGGGTGAGAGACCCCAGCTGTCAGGACCCGTGCTGATGGCCCGTGCAGCCGCGCCCCCGTGGGTGGGTGATGTTTTAATTCCTTGAATCAGAGCCAGGACTTGGCACTTAACCTTCATGCTTCGTGTTGTCTCTGGCCCATTGTCCAGCCGGGTGTCGGGAGTCCTGTATCTGCCCCAGGTTTGTGGGTTCTGGGCTGGGACCAGAGCCCTGTGGCCGGCCCTTTACAACCTGTCCAAGCTGACCCTGAAGCCATCTAGGCCAGCCCTGAGGTCACTCTGGCTTCTCTCCTCCGTTGTCCCCCAGCTCACAGTGGCCCAGCCACACCCTTCTTGTCTCCCCCACCCCAACCCCAGGGCCTTTGCACATGCTGCTCCCGCTGATTCCTCCTCAGGCTTCAGTCTTGGCTAAGGTGTCACTTGCTCAGGGAGCCCTTTTCCGCTGGGACTTGCTTGTGCCCCTGCCAAAGTGGACCTGGCCCGTTAGCTGGGCTCAGAGCCCTGAGCTTTCCCTTCATGCCCCTGGCATATGGTGATTCCATGGCGGTGTGTGTGGTGAGTGAATTCCCCCTCCTCGCCACGAGGCTGGGGGTGGTGTCCAAACTGTTCCTCACTGCCCAGCTCTGCTCAGGGACAACCCTGCCCTGCGAGTGGGCGCTCACACGTGGCCCTCACCCCAAGTTTAAGAGTGTGGGGCCCCCTCTTATATGCTCACCAGGCTCCAGCAGGCTGAGGCCCCCATGGCTGGGTGCCAGGCCAGCCCTGCTTCCTGTGCTCTGATGGGACGCCCCAGCGTGAACCCTGTGACCCTGGACACTGCTGGGCCCACCTCTCGTGTCCCGGCGAGGGGAAGGACACCAGATGTGAGGGTGTCATGATTGAGCAGAAACTCCAAAAGAAAAGTCAGGAGATCAGCCAAGGCCTGCCAGCTTCTAATTTTGTCAAGTAGGGACGTTACTTAGAAACAGCAAACGTGGCGTCTGTTGTCGTGGTTTCAGAGCGAGCGAGGTGGCTGTGGCTGCAAAGGCAGGTGGCTGGGGGGAGATGGGGGCCTCTGAGGGCGGCCCGTGATTCCACGAAGTGCACTGCCTTCTCGCATCTGACCTCACACTGCAGCTTCTGTGGGTTGGCCTGGGTCCTCCCTTCCCTTAGATGGCCCAGGAGAGGCGAGTCGCCCAGCATCACGCGTGGCAGCTGGTACCTCTCCAGCCCTGGGGGGGGGCTTGAGCCTCTGCCGGAGGAGGGGGGTCCTGTTGTCACCTCTGAGGACAGCGACTGGCCTTCCTGCTCAGGCACAGGGTGGGAGCTCCTTGAACCACTGCTGTTGAATGAGGCCCATTTGTTTGAGTGAGAATCAAGGCTCAGAGAGGTTAAGTGTTTGCTGGAGGCCACACAGCAGGATGGAGCAGGGAGGGGCTGGAACCCTTCCCAGCCCCCACCCCCATAGAGGAGCCCCCTCCAGCCCTGACATCACCCACAGCTCCAGCCCCGCATTGTCCTGTCCTCACCTGTTCGAGATGCACAGTGGACATGTGACCTGTGCACCCACTTGTGAGGCCTCAGCCTTCCTGGGAGCAGCTCAGGGTGACAGCCTGTCCCTCGGGCCTGCTCTGGGCCCATTGAGGCTCTGAGGGGGCTGCTGGCAGTGGCCAGGAGAAGGCCCGTTTGCTGGGGCTTCAGCATGGGGCCCTCCTTAGGTCTGCCCCACACCTCACCTCCCACACGGCTCGCTGGGCCCCTCCCCACCAGACCCACGCTCCCGCTGCATGGGGCTGCTCTGTGTCACGGACAGGCAAGGTACACGGTGCTTTCCAGATAGCCGCATGACAGGAGGGACACTGAGGCTCTGAGAAGTAGAGCCTGGCTGTAGTGGTGCCACCTCGCGCACCGGCTCTGGCCTCTGGCACGGCTAGCTGCTGGGCGTGTCACATGCGTGAACCGGGGACCTCGTGCAGGCCAGCCTCTGCCTGTGGCTGCCGGTCGTTGATCAAACGGGGTGAGGGTGAATGCCTGCAGGGGTGCTGGGCCTAGGCACGTGATATCCTGCCCATGAGCTTGGATGGCCAGGTGCCGCTCCCAGAGGCCTGCTGGGGCACTGGGGAGAGAACACCGAGCTGTGGGCCAGCCCGACGCGGCTGAGGGTTTCGGCATGAAGGTGGTGACAGGAGTCATGTCGGTGCTGGAGCCCTGCCCGCCCCTTCCCACTGGGGGTCCCTGGGCTGCTGTGGCCCACGTGCCCCAGAAACACCAGCTGACGCCTCTACCTGCAGCTCCAGTGCCCGCTCTGCACGCCTCAGCCTTGCCCCACCTGGTGGCCTTGGTGCCAACTTGTCCCTGGGCCTCCTCGGAGAGTCCTCAGCCAGCCCTTCTCGCAGCCTGGAGTGTTTAGACTGCGCGCCGCTTATGGGCAGATGGTTTCTGTCAGGCAAGCTCTTCAAAGGGGACCTTTCTCCCATGAGGAGCACCGGCCACTGGCGCACCCCCTGCTGGCTGCCGCCCTGTCTGTCTGTCTGTGCCGCCTTTGCGTCTGGTAGGAAGAAACAACACCAAAGCAGCCAGGACTGCCCACTGGCTGGGCCACCGTGACCACGCGTCCCACCCGTCCCAATACCCACCCCCACGTCTCAGCTTCCTTGTCTGTGACGCGGGGCCACCTGGCACCTGCCCTCTGCGATGGGACTAAATGGTCACAGGCTGGATGATAGTCCTGTGGCTGCTGTAACCACCACGAACTGAGTACTTAAGAGAGCCCAGGCTTAGCGCCTCACACTCTTCGAGGGCCAAAGTCCGACACCAGTCCCGCGGGATAAAGTCAGGGTGTCAGCGGGGCTGCTTCCTCCTGGGGGGCACCCGCTTCCGGCCCTTCCCAGGCTGGCGGCCTCCACGCTCTGGCTCGGGGCCCCTCCTCCCGCTTCGAGGCAGCAGCGTCTTCTCTGCTCCGGCCTCTGCTGGCCTCACTCCTTCCCTCCGACTCTGACCTCCCGCCTCCCTCTCGTAAGGGCTCTTGTGATGCCACTGGGCCCTCCGCACATCCAGGGTCATCTCCCGTCTCAGGATCCCGACCTCGATCATGTCTACAGAGTCCCTTTGGCCGCGTGGGGTCACATAGTCACAGGTCCTGGGGATTAGGACGTGGGCGTCTTTGGGGGCTGTTAGCAGCCCACGCTGGGCAGAGCGGGGCCTGGTCTGGGCTGTGCTGTCGGCACGGTGCTCACTACGGTGCCCCCTCCCTACCTAGCCCAACGACCCGGTCACCAACATTTGCCAAGCAGCGGACAAGCAGCTCTTCACCCTCGTGGAATGGGCCAAGCGGATCCCACACTTCTCTGAGCTGCCTCTGGACGACCAGGTCATCCTGCTGAGGGCAGGTGAGTGTCCGGGCCTGGTGGGGGCTGGCGGGGCATCGAAGGACAGCCACCCTGACCCACTGTGTGACAGGGCCCCCCCTGCCCCTCCCTGGGCCTCAGTCACCCCCTCTGTAAGATGGGGCTCATTCTTGCTTTGTAGGCTCTTAGGATTAGATGAGATAATCCATGAGCTCCTGTCAGCCACAAAGCCTGGAACCTTCCACGTGCTCGGGAGTGGTGGCTGTGAAAAGAACTGCTCTTGTTGAAGATGGCTTCATGTTACCCCATTTAAATGAGTCGTTTAAACACTTGTGCACAGAAATGAAGGTCTTTTTCGCTCCCTTTCCTTAACCCTTTGCTGCCTCCCGGCTTGTCTGTGCTCCTAGAACCAGAGCGACGAGTTGCTCTGTGGCTCTCACACGCCTGGTTTCAGTTCAGCGATTTGCTATTTTGTGGTGTCCCACGCTGCACACGCTGATCCCTGAGTTTGCTGTTGGGACCAGACTAGCTGTCCGTGGCTATCGCCGAGAATCGCGGGCGCACATCCGTGTGATCCGTGGCACGAGCATCCTGCACTTGCAGAAGGAGACCCACGAGTGGGGGAGTGCCTGGGTTAGACAGCCCGAGCTGCTCTGTGCGGGACTTGTCATGGCCTTGACTGCCGTGCACACGGGGAAGAGTGCGCTCAGGAAACTCTCCCGCAGGGCGGTTCCGGGGGGTCGGGCTCCACGGAGCCTGCTTTTGGGAACGCTGGCTAGGGCCCGCCGAATGACCGTGTGTCTCCCTGCCAGGCTGGAACGAACTGCTCATCGCCTCCTTCTCCCACCGGTCCATAGCCGTGCGGGATGGGATTCTCCTCGCGACCGGGCTGCACGTGCACCGGAACAGCGCCCACAGTGCAGGCGTGGGCGCCATCTTTGACAGGTGGGGTGGCCCTCAGCCATGGTCACATGGGGCTTAGCGTGTGTTCATGGAGGTCGTAAGTGCAGGAAGTGAACGAAAGCACGAGGACAGAGATGAAACCCTTTTGAAGCCCAGTACCCGGGGATACTCGGCGGCCACTAACGTTTGGGTTTATTTCCTTCCAGTTCTTTTCTTAAAATTCTATATAGGGGAAGGAAGGCTGCACTTTTTTAAAGGCGGAAGTGGATTATATCAGGGATATGGATTGACTGTGTCCCTTTTGACACAGTAAAAGGGATGCGCTTTGACGCATTGCAGACTCTTCGGGGCTGTGGCTGGGACGCATCGCAGCCCACGTGTGCCTGGTGTGGCCAGCTGTGCCTGGCTGTGCGGCTCCTGCACCTCCCCGATGCAGCACGGACATGCACCTCTCTGCACAGCCCCCGTGGGTCACACGGCAGACCCACGCCCAAGGGCCGGGAGGCCTGTTTGTCTCCATTCAGGTTGCTCTCCAGGAACAGGGCCCATTTACATGTCCCCAGGCCAGCTGGACAGCAGCTGTCTGTCCCTGTCTCTGGCTGGGGCCCACTGCAGGCCTGGGTCTCCTGGGGACCTGGGTATCGCTTTAGCCAGCTGGAGCGGGCAGGGCTGGGTGGGACATTGCAGGGTCCCTCGGGTGGGGGGCTGCAGCACAGGAGTGGTGGAGGAGAAGGGGCAGGTCAAGGAGGTGTCCACGGCAAGCCCTTGGGTGTGGGAGCCCTGCAGATGGAGGCCCCCACTGTTACCCACAAGGCGGGGAGGACTAATTGCAGGAAATGTGCTGCCCATTCAGATAGAATGAAGGAGCAGGCCCTTGAGCTCACTGGGTTGTGCCAAGCGCCAAAAGGCTGTGTGGCCGCGGCTGCAGGCAGACTGGAGTAAACAGTGCATGTCTGTGCCTGCTGCAGGACTTCTCAGGGCGTTTAACAAGCTGACGTACCATGGTGCCACCAAAGGGGGCAGCAGGTGCAGCGTTTATTGCCCACAGAAGCCTTCTTTAGAGTGTGCATCCCTCTGATATCTGCGTTAGTGTTGCAGCCCCAGCCATGCACCCAGCTGACACTCCGTGGTCCCAGCAGCTAGCGAGGTGACAGTGCTGGAGGCGTCGGGTTATGTCCCCCGGGCCCCAGAGCAGCCGTGGAGAGGCCCAGCTTTTCCTCGCCCTTCACGTGAAGGGCTTTCTGCCCCACCTCTCTGCAGCCCACCCCCTGCCCACCAGCAGATGGCCCAGAGGCCAGGCGATGTCTGAGGCCGCTCCATCCCACCCTGTCCTCTAGGCTCCCTGAGCCTTCTCAGGCTGCAAGCACATCCCTGCCCAGCCTGCAGACCCACTGGGCTCCACTTGGCCCACAGGGAAAAGCCTGGGCTCCTCAGGCTGACTATCAGGCCTCCCCCGGGCCACGCCCCTTTGCTCCCCTGGGGCCTGACCTCCCCACCACTTGCGCTTTGTGGCTCCGACTGTCAAGTTTTGGGACTGGTGGGTGGGCTAATGAGTTTGGAGAGCCCAGGCCACGTGGGGTGCTGTAGATAGGCCAGGGGGTCCCGGACGCTGCCACCCGCAGGGGGCTCCAGGGAGGGTTCTCTGCTCTGATGAGGATGGGTGTGTTGCTTCCCCTCGTGGAAGTAAACGGCTGGTGACAAGAAGTGGAACAGCCCCCTCTGGTGGCCAGGCAGGACCTGGGAAGGCCACATCCTGGGGAACGCCTCCTCTGGACTGAGGGGAGTAGTTGTGACTGGAATCCAAGGGCTGTGCCTCAGGCTGCCCCGCCGGTCTGCAGCTGAGCGTCCAGTGGCAGTGGACTTGGCCCCAATGCCCAGGCCCCTGGCTCACCTTGGCTCGGCTGTCACAAGGTCCCTCCGTAGTCTGCAGCACCCCAGAGTAAATCCCACATGTAGACCCTCTCCAGGCAGAGAGCGAGAGCCCACCCTGGGGCGTGGCAGATGTTGGACCTGTCCGGGCAGCCCCCCTTTGGCCTTCTCAGCTGCCCTCCGGGGCCACACCAGGCTCCCTGAGTCCCGTGGGTATTTCTGGGGGGTCCTGGCGAGGGGCGCGGTTCGCTGTGTGCCTTGTCACTCACCCGCTTTCGCTGTAGGGTGCTGACGGAGCTGGTGTCCAAGATGAGGGACATGCACATGGACAAGGCGGAGCTGGGCTGCCTGCGCGCCGTCGTCCTCTTCAACCCCGGTATGGCCCTCCTGCCGCGCCGAGCCGCCGCGTCGCCTGCTCATGGTGGGGAATGGCTGTGCCGCCTTCCCGTGGCCCTTGTGAGGGTCCCATGTGGGGCCTCTGCACACATTGGGGCTTCGTGAGCCACAGTTGTCCTTAATGGTCTGGTGAGGCCTCTGGCCTGGCTTTCTGGGCTATGCTGTCCAGAGCATGGCACCACTTTGCACTGGAATCCTGGGGTCCAGGAGGGACAGACTTCCCGTGAGCTTCCAGTGCTGAGGGTCTGGAGTCCAGAAAGCTCGGGCGGCGTTAGTGAGGGGCAGACCTGCTCTGGGTACCGTGGGACCAGCCTGGCCCCACCTTGGGTGCTGTGTGGGAGGGGGCCTCCTTAGAGCTGCCCATCTCATCCAAGCCAGGGCCTGCGGGGAGCCAGCCTGAGTGCCCAGGTCCCAGGCAGCTTCCCGGATGAGGGGCTCTGACCAGTGGCCCCTTCTTCACAGACTCCAAGGGGCTGTCGAACCCGGCCGAGGTGGAGGCGCTGCGGGAGAAGGTGTACGCGTCCCTGGAGGCCTACTGCAAACACAAGTACCCCGAGCAGCCAGGAAGGTGAGCCCTGGCCCTCGGGACTTTGTGTTCAGCCCCCTTGCCCCGGGGCAGACTGCCACTAGCCCTTTAGATACTTTCGTGTGAATCTGAAGGTGACGCCCCTCCTGGAGCACCTGGCATGTTCTGAGCAAGGACGGGGCTCTCTCTGGGCCCCAGTGCTCACACGCGCTCACACATTTTCCTGTAGCCCTATTAAAAAGATGGGCCCAGCGCCAGCACACAGTAGGTGCTTTGTAGATGACACAAGGAAGTCTGTGCTTCCCCCCACCCCCAAGGGAACCACTAGAGGCAGGGCCTTGGCGTGCTCACCCCTGGCAGGAACGGGTGCCAGCACATAGTAGGTGCTTTGCGAAAAGTCTGCAGAGTAGATAGATGGCTGTGGTCCCAGCGTACAGCTTGCATCTCCCACGCGCCTGACTGGGCCCCCAAGGGCTGGGATCGTCTCATTTCCGGGTCCACAGTGCCGGGAGCGCAGTAGGCATCCAGGAGAAACCGAGCTGTCAGTGGCATCGTGGTTTTCCGAGGCTGTTGTCCTGATTCCTTCCGCCCCCCTCCCTCCAAAAGGGCATCTCCTGGGTGGGGGGGTGGCGGGGAGAGGTGGCCAGGACAGCAGGCCCGCCTCTTGGCTGGCGCACACATGGTTAAACTGTGTCCGATTGTTGCTCAGCCCTCATCTGGTTTGGTTTAAAGTGAGACTTCCCGGATGGAGGACGGAGGATGGGGACTGAGAGGCAGCACTGCTTGTTTTTCCTGGCTCCCTGCCTCAGCCGTCTCGCAAGCTCAGCAGAAAACAGCTCGCGCTCTGGCCCCCTCCAGGCTCAAGGCTGCTTTTTTTGCCTAGAAAATGAGGGTTGTGTGGCAGCCAACCACGGGGTTTTTGCCCCCGAAATACAGACGTCGTGAATAATTAATGAGGTCCTGAAGCCCTGCAGTACCCGGAGGGACCCTGTGGAGAGACCCGGGCAGCATGTGGTGGAGGGGGGCCTGGGGCAGATGTGGACATCCCTGGAGGGACATCTGGCTGAGTCCCCACATGGCACGTTTCTCCTCCAAGAGCCCCAGTGGTTTCCACCTTCCCTCCCCCACCCAGGGTCCTCCAAAGAAACTCCCCAGAGGGTGGGCAGGGCCTGAGGGGCGTCCTGTGCTCAGGTCCAGCTCCAGCAGAACTATTTCTGGGGAAGAGGTGTGCCTGGCATGGGGGTTTGGGGTGCCGATGCTTTGAGAAGGGGCTTGTTCGAGCACAGACTTTTCTCCCCTCTGCAGCCAGAGGCATTGCTGGTTCTCTCAGCCCTCTCCCCTGTATAAAATCCTGCTGTGGCTCCCTGTTGCCCTTGGAGAAAGCCCCTGTATTTTAACTTCTCCACAAAGCGCTATCCGCCTGCCCCAGCCTGGCTGCTGTCTCCCCACTGGCCCTTGGTCCCAGGTCTTCACCCTGTGGGTCTTTTGGGGTCTTCATGCCCACCCTGCATTCTCCTACCTCCAGGCCATGCCCTGCTCTGTTTCTGCTGCCTGAGGGGCCCGCCTTTCCCCTCTTAGGCTCAGCTGGGCTGGTCTCATGCAGGTTTGGGAAGATCGGACTTGAGACGGTCCCGTCCCCAGGAGGCAACCAGGCGCTGGGGCGGGGGGTGGGACGGCTGCCTGCGCGCTCACGCTGGCTCTCCCGCAGGTTTGCCAAGCTGCTGCTGCGTCTCCCGGCTCTGCGTTCCATCGGCCTCAAGTGCCTGGAGCACCTCTTCTTCTTCAAACTCATCGGGGACACGCCCATCGACACCTTCCTCATGGAGATGCTGGAAGCTCCGCACCAAATGACTTAGGCGCAGCCCGGCCACCCCGCCTGGCCGCCAGCTGCTCTCCTCAGCCAGCCCCGCCCCTGCCCCTTCTCTGCCTGGCCTGTTCGGACTTTGGGGCTCAGCCTATCACTGCTAAGCCTAAGAGATATGTTGCCACCCTCGTTATTTTCAATACTACTTGTCTTTGGACGCTGCAGGGCAGTGGCTTTCCCGGGGCCGGAGTGGCAAGGACTGGTGTGACCCCAGCCAGGTCCTTCAGGCTCTCCCAGGGGAGCGCAGGGCAGCTCACGGGGTCTCAGGCCCTGGTTCCTGGAGCTACAGCAGGCGGGAAGGGCGGCTTTGTGTGGGTCACTGTTGTCGCTGGTTTTCGAATCTCCCGTGCGGCTCTCCTGCGTGGAGTGACCCCTTTTGTCTCTTGTCAGTGCTAGTGCTTGGCAAGCCCGGCTTCACCCGTGGTCAGAAGGAGAGGACAGGTGGGGGACGGGCTGGTGTTTCGTTGTGAAAGAGCCCACCTACTCCCTGGGAAGACGACAGCGGCTCTGGGGCTGGCAGGCTTCCCTTCCCTCACAGAGAAGGGCGAGCAGCCCCTTTTTCCAAAGATGACTTGCGGTTCTGCCCCCGAGCCAGTCAGAGCAGGATCTGACCTCTGTGCAGGGTTGTGGGGCCACCTCAAGGCCGCAGGGGCTGGGGTTGCCTCCCCGCCTCCCCACCCACCTCAGTTTTCTCTCTGCATCTCGTCTTCCTTTCAGCTTCGCCCCCCGTGGGGTCCCATCCAACCCAGGGCAACTAGACTGCCGTGCCCCGGCCTCTCCTGAGCCCCGTATCTTCTCTTGCAGTCTGGGAGTTGGGCCGACAGTAGCTCCTGCTTCCTAGAGGGCTGACCTCTTGGGCTCGGCCTTCCTGGAAGCACTGGCCATGCCAGCGTGGGCTCTGCTGACCTCTCATGGGCAGAGGTTGCCCCCGGGGAGGCCCACAGGGATGGGAGGGGAGGGTGGGTGCTTTCCCAGAGGTCTCAGTCTGCTAGGCACATTTGGAGGGAGGCAGGAGGCGTCGAGAGCCCGAGGGACGTGGCGTGTAAGCCCGGCGGGGAGGGGCAGGGGGCTGCAGTCTGGAGATCTCCATAGAAAGACCCCCTCCGCTGGCTACCTGTTCTGTCTGAAGACTGTTGGAATCAGAAGCCATTGAATGCCAGCCTCCTCGGGCCTGTAGCTAGACACCCGTTGGGAACAGCCAGCCAGGCTGCTGTCTGGGTGATGGAGCTCCGTCGAACACCCACTCTGGTTGAAGGCGCCCCGGTCAGCCCAGCACCCACTTCCGTAGCAGTTCGACCCAACCCAAGGGGGTGGAGTGTCTCAGGTTGGACTGGGCTCTTTGCACTGTTCCTTTGGTCTGAATACTTTACATTTTCACGCCTCACACCCCAGGAACCCAGCATGTGTCAGCAGTGGGGACCTGAATAGGGATGACAGTGTTGGGGGTGCGGGGAGGGGTCCTGTCTGCTTAGCCCGAGGGCATGCTACACGGGGGATGTGTGTGGGGGGGCACTGCCTTTCCCAAAGTATGTTTCCCCAGATGGTACAGGGGTGCCCTGGGCAGGGGCTTCCTCGGATGCCTTTGGGGCTGGGCAGGGAGAGGCAGGCCCCCAGGCCTCGGTGGGGAGATGGTGTCCATTCTCTGCCTCCCGGAGCCCCCAGCCCGAGCTGAGCGTGAGGCATCTGGGAGGAGGCTGTAAGACTGCACGGATACCTCCTTCGGCAGGCTGCCCTGCCACGTGGGCACTTTGTCCACTGCCTGAGGCGTGCCAGGGCCTGCCCAACTGTCCCTCCACCCAGACTCTCCCCCAAAGTCTTGGCAGCCTTTGGGGTGATGGTTGTGACAGGCAGTGATGCAGGCAGTCAAGGTATATATACCCTTTCGGGCCTCACCCCCAGCAGTGGGAATGGTCAACGTCCCCACACCCACCACCCTGGTGCCTTCTGCAGCGACACACACACCCCATCGTCCATGCCCAGCCCCCACCTCGTCCCCTGGGCCCCTTGGGAATGTGGGTGGCTCCAGTGGAAAAAAACCAGGATGGGGGCCCTCTGTTGGGGGGTGTTGGCTTCCTGGGAATGTCACTGTTGCTGGCCCTGGCTGGCAGGCTGTAAGCACTGAGGCCCCCAGGCCCTGCAGCCCCTCCTGTACCGCAGCGTCTTAGCTCTCAGGAGCTGCCCTCCCGCTTCTCTCAGTCTCTGTCGTCGTCATCCGTGCAGTGCTGTTTGTTTGGAAAAGTGACCCGTGGGGCAATGGCACATTACTCGGTAGAAAGATAGAATTTTTATTTAACCAGATCTTTAGTAGTAGTACCAATCTGGTTCAATTAAGGCGACTTTCTTTGTAATTATTATTATTATTTTGGTGGGACAATCTTTAATTTTCTAAAGATAGCACTAACATCAGCTTGTTAGCCACCCCATGCCCGTCCCCGCCTCGGTCCGGCCAGACACTTCCTGGGCCCCGGGTCTGCTGGTGTCTCCGGCAGGTTCCTCAGTGGTGTCACCTCCCCACTCTGACATCCAGACGGGGCTTCTGGGGCTGAGGAGCGAAGACGGCCGCATGCTGTGTTTGGAAAGTGTTGGCAAGGCCAGGCCCTGACTTGCCCCCCACCCTTGGAAGCTGGCCTGCCTGCGACAGTCACCAAGAGGGCCCCCGTGTCAGCCACTCGTCACCTGGAAGCATGCGGTCTCCAGGGACCACGGCCCTGCACTCTGGGATTCCCAAGTCCCAGTGCTCCCAGTGGATTCGGGCTGTCAGGCTGGCGGCCAGTGCGGGAGGCCTGGCAGGGCTCCCTTCTCCGTGGGGCCCTCGGAGCGCCTGGCCGGAACGTGCAGCCAGTGGGTAATCAGCTGATGTTGTCCCCATCATGGAATTCGGGCACATGGCGTGGTCCCTGCCACGCAGGTGTGTGGGTGTGAAATGTACGTGCTGAACAGAAACTGCACAGAGCTACACGCCATGGACAGCACACGCGTAGCCGTTCCCAGCGTTTTGTGTTTATTTTTAATCAAGACTATTTTTTCTGTTTTCCTATAAATTTGCTTCATGTGAGCAAGTACATAAGGACCCCTCCTTTGGTGAAATCCGGGTTCGAATGACTATCTCAAGGCGAGGAGATGCATCTATTTTAAGATGCTTTGGAGCAAACAGCTTTAGCAGTTCCCAATCCTTAGCCATGCCTTAGCCGGGACGCGTAGCTAACTTCAGAGGATGACAAATACAGAGAGTAAAGATAAGAGAAAATGTCTAAAGCATCGGGAAAGGTAAAAAAAAAAAAAAAATCTATTTTTGTACAAATGTAATTTTATCCCTCATGTATACTTGGATGATACGGCGGGGAGGGGTGGGGACTTGTTCTGTTTCTGCTTCTAGAGGTTGAAGTGAAAGCGTTCTTGGTAACGCGTTGGAATGTGAGATGGAGCAGAGAACGGGGCTCCAGCGACACGGCGCGCAGGCTTTGTGACGCTGCTGCACAGAAATGTTCCCTGTGGGCCTGAAACTTTCAAGGGTTTTCTTCCCCTTTCGAGTAATTTCAACAGCCTCGCTCTGTTCACCCGCTGCCAGCCGGCCCTCCCGCGACTGTGAAATCACTTCCTTCCGCGATTGTTCTCTACATCATGGGCCACAGGTGCCAGGGTTGACAGACAGTGGTATGCGAATTGTGGGAAAGAAAAAGACGACGCGAGAGGAGAAACAAAATAGGACCGTTTAAAAATACATCATCCTTCAGTTCTCATCTGTTCTGGTGGTGTTTCCTGTTTGGGTCTGGAGGTCAGTCACGCAAGGGGGCTTCCGGCTGCCCCAGAGACAGAGGGCCTGCTGCCCTCAACCTGACCTGGGCCGGGTCCGCACAAGGTGCCTCAGCTGCTACCCGGTGGGTGGGGGTGGCGGGTCTAGGGCAGGGGGCCCAGGCTGGGTCGCTCGCCCTCAGCCGCTGCTCTGCCCCACAACTCTCCCGGGAGCCCCTTTCTGGAGCCTGGGACTGGCCCAGTGGCCTTCCGAGGGGGTCCCTCAGCATGTGTGAGCACTGGTAGAGCCCTTGTGTGGCTGCTGGCCCTGCTCTAGGCCACCCCAGCACAGCCCCGTGTCCACACTGGCCCAAGCTGGCAGGGGGCTCCCATAACCCCCAAGTGAACGGTGTCATCTAACTGCCCCACTAATACCGAGGAATGACGCCCACCTGCTCCATCCTGTGACCTCTCCACGCGGTCCAGGGGCTGGACAAACCCTCCTGCCTCTCTGTCCAGCAGGCACCCTTGTGGGGAGACCCTGGGACTGGGAGCTGGACAGAGGGTGAGGGCTGCTCCCAGCCGGGAGGGGGCAAACCTTACAACTCCGCATCAAAGGTGAGGCTCCCCTGATGTTCCCCTGACCGAATGCACGCGCGGACACTCACAGGCACACACTGACATATGTGCTCCCCACACAGTCACACACAAATACATGTACACACAACAGCTATCCACACTCATGCATGGCACACATTTACCACGCTCCCACTGTCTCCCGGGCGCCGGTCAGCCCCCGGGACGGAGGACTGGATGATTCGGGGAGCAGCACGGCGGAGGGGCCTCAGCCCTCGGGGAGCACGAGGCCGAGTCGGGACACCCTCACCCACATTCGCCCTCTTCCCAGCTGTTTTTGGGGATGGCTGCACCCTGAACCTCTTAGCTGCTCTCTGGATCCCCAGCTATGGGTGAATGGTGGGTGCCAGCTGGACCCTGGAAGTACAGGAACTCTGCCATCTGTTTAAGACCCACGCGCGGCTGATTGCCAGGGCCTGTGGGGCCGCACCCACCAGAACCTGGCCTGGACCTGGACTGGAGTGGGCACAGGAGCCGGGGGACACGAGGGAGCATCAGAGGCATCGCCTGCGTCCCCCCACAGCACAGCGCCTGCTGGCCTCTGGGAAACGCACATGTATCAGCCGGGGGCCCCTTCCTGAGGGGCATGGAGAATTGGGGGCTGCGAGGCTGCCTCCCGGCTGAGGGGCCTCGTCCTGCCTTCCACGTTCCCAAGCTCTGCTGAGTGCACTGCGTGGGACACTGGTTCCCTGGCGGTCCCGTTCCCCAGGGAATGAAGGCGAGCCCAGTGGGGAGATCCGGCAGGGTTCCTGGGCACAGAGGGTCCCCTGGGCGTGCGAGTTCCCTGCTGAGAGCAGGCTCAGGCAGCTGCCGGGCAAGGGGGCGCTGCAAGGTTTCAGGAGGACTAGAACAGGAGGGTTGTTGGAGGTCCCACCCTTGGCCCTGGGAGGGCAGACCCACATCTTCCTAATGAGGCACTTGGAAGGACCTGGGCGAGTCCTGAGCTGTCAGAGACAGGGGTGGCCCTGGCCGGAGCAGACCGGTGACCAAGATGGCCTCTGTGGGGGCCATTCCTACCCAAGCCGTGTCCTCCAAACTCTCCAGGGTCCAGGCTCCAGGGGGCACACCAGGGGTGGCGTGCTCCCTGGGAGAGGGGGGGCAGGCTCCAACACCCTACTTCCTTGGTTAGGAGGCCCCTGGCAACCCCCCAGGGACATGCTGCCGAGTTCCCGCCAGTCAAGCACTCTAGTCTGCCCCTGGGCCTTGCATGGCAACCTGGCCTTGGGCCTCCCTGCTGCCCCCAGTTGCCATGGCGACACCTGCCCAGGAAGGTCCCCCTGGACCAGAGATACTGGGCTTGATAAGTTTATCACCAAGGAGATCAGGTGGTGACAGCCAGCCAGCAGGCTCAGGGCTTGTAACCCGAGAGGCGAGGGTGGCGCAGGGGGCTTTGGGCTGGGAGGTTGCTGAGAGCCCTCTGTTTAGCAGGCCCTGCTAGCCCTGCTGTTAGGAGGAAGGGCGGGCGTGCTTGGCAAATGGGGGGCATCCTGGAGAAAGGCCCTGGGACCCGGAGAGGACAAAGGGCAGAAGAGCCGGCACCATCGCTGGGCACAGGGCGGCAGCACCCTCAGGGACAGGAACCCAGTCGAGGTGGCCAAGGAAGTCGTGGGGACCTCAGGCAGGAAGGGGCTGGAAGCATGAGGGCGTCAGGGAAGGTGGTCCCATGTGAAGATTTCAGTCCACAGCCCCCTAATGCCCAATGGTCCCACCTGTCCGCAAACTCAGGGGCTCCCCAGCGGTGGTAAGGACTGATCCTGGCCAGGACCGGGAGGCTGCTGCACGGAGTTGGAGGGGAGCGGCCCCCCCGCTGCCCGTGGCCGTTCCCATCCCTTCTGTCCCTGGGGGCATCCTGGCTGCTGGTGACCTCTGGGACTCCGAGTGTCGGAGTGGATTGGCCATTTAATCTAGCGTTTCCACTCACCCTCCTGCTGCAGCACCTTCTACACAGATGCTCAGAGAGAACCCAGAGGTGGCTGGGAGGCCGCAGCCCCCAGGTCAGCCTTCCCTCCATATGCAGACCCGCTGGGAGGAGCCCTGAGTCTGAAGATGGGGCCCAGAGGCAGGACCAGCCCAGCGCCCAACCTCTTGGCAATGACAGGCCCCCATAGCAACCCCAGGCTATTGAGGGTGCACTGGGTCCCTCAGAGCAGGCGCCAGTGCCAGGAGCCCCAGGTTGTGAGGCAGCACTGCCCCCTGCTGGCGGCACTGAGGCAAAGCCCACCCTGATCTTTCCAGTCCTGTCCCCTTACAGGGCGCGGTTGCTGCAGCCCCCCCTCCAGGGCGTCCTGGGTCTCTGCACCTTAGAATTGCTGGAGGTGTACGGGACTCTGATGCCCAGGCTGCCCGTCAGCCGACTAAATCAGGCCTGGGGTGCAGTAGGCACCCGTGCTTTATGAAGGTGCTGGGAGTGGGCCGTGCAGCCCTACTGTGCGCTCAGCGTGGGGCGGGAGGTGGGTGGGTCCTGTTCTTTCTAGGCCTCAGTCTCCCCATCCCCACAATGAGGACAGAAGTCTCCATGTCCCAGGGCTGTTGTGACGGAGGTGTACAAAGGCCGTAATCAACAAGAAAATGCTCTGAAGTCACCACTTCCTGCTTTATTTTGGTGGGAAGAGGCCCTATCATAGACCTGGGCAACGGGTGGGGGCTGGAGCCTTGGAGATCCGGCCGGGGGTCCACCTGTGGCCTGTGTTCCAGGGCCTGGGACCCAGAGGGTGGCGTCAAGAGGCAGGACCAGGAAGGGTGGGCACCACTGTGGAGGTGAAACTCCAAGGGCAGGTCAGAGCTGCAGGTGAGGACGTTGAGAAATTGTGGAGAAGGGACTCATTCACTCACTCACTCATTCATTTCATTCATTCACTCACTCACTCACTGGACAAACTTATCAGGCCCAGGCCCTGCCCTGAGGGGCTGGCTACGCCACCAGGACAGGAAGGTGGAGAGGAGGACGCAGCAGGGCAGAAGTCCCCAAGCACCTAAACCCCTGCCCCACACTCACTCCCCCCCACTCTCCACAGTGGGACGTGGGCACAGCTGTCCCCTGAGCTTCAGGCCCTGTCTGGCTGTGGAGCCTCTGAAGCATGGTGCTTGGCACACAGTGGGGCTGAGAAAATCTTCCGCTTGTGGGACCAGCATGGGTTCCAGTGTCTACAAGGCAGAGGGTGGTTGGGAGCTTCCAGACGAGTGCAGGCCACAGCCCAGAGGGGCTGGATGGCTGCATTTGCTGGCGCCTTCCCTGGCCACCTGCCCCGGGGGTGGGACTGACAGCAGGTCTCCGGGGCCTCTGTCCTCCTGCCATTCCACACCAGCAGCTGCCACTGCCTGGCCCGGGCCACCCAGGAGGTCAGAAGGCCTGGCGGGCAAAACACTTACCTCTCGGCTTCAGTTTCCCATTGATGGACAGGTGAGAACTGTAGTGAGCGCGTGCTGTGAAGGCTCAGAGTGGAGAGTAGTGGCCTCACCAACGGTGATCAGCCCATTGCTCAGGTGAGAAATTGAGGCTGGGAGAGGAGGTGACTCCTCGGGGTCAGCTACAGCAGCGGGACCCAGGTCTCCCGGCTTCCAGGCAGCGCTCTGGAAAAGACCTGGCCCCAGTGCCTGCCTCTGAGGGGCTAACAGCCATTGAGGGGGGGGGCGCGGGGGAGAGGAGCAGACACTTCACAGCAGCCTGAGGCACAGATGTGAGCCCACCTGGCCACCTGCTCAGAGCCCAAGCTGCCGAGAGGAACAGGTGGTGCCCCAGGTGCTGGGTGGGGCATCCCAGCAGAGACATCTGTGGGCTGGAGCCCTTGGGGTGGCAGGGCAGAGGACAGGCAGTGGGCTCTTTAGATCCCAAGGCCACTGAGAAGGGGCGAGGATTCCTCACGGAGGGCTGGGGCCCTGGCCACCTTGGAGAGCCATTCTGCAGTTGTTGTTTTTTTTTAAAAAAATAAAGCTAGACATCGTCCAGCAACTGTGTTCTCAGGTGTTTATGCAACTGATGTGAAAACATATGTCCACTTCCAACCTGCATGCAAATATTTACAGCAGCTTTACTCATAATCATTGAAACCTGGATGCAGCCAAGGTGCCCTTCGGTAGGTGAACAGATAGACAGACAGCAGTCCCTCTGGACGGTGGGAGACTCTTGGAAATAAAAAGAAACGAGCCATCAAGCCACGCGAAGACTTGGATGAATCACGACCATAGTGCTAAGCGAAAGAAGCCTAAGGAAGAAAAAAGGCAACACGCTTCCATCGATAGGACATCCTGGGAAAGGCAGAGCTGCAGAGATGGGGCAGACCAGGGGTTGCCCGGCATCTCAGAGCGGGAGGTACAGCAGGAGGAACACAGGGGCGTTTTTTAGGGCAGTGAAACCAGTCTGTACGATGCCGTC